TAAACCAGGCAGGGTTAAACTTACAATATGTGCTCAACACTGATAACTGTCAGACTTTCGAAATCCTTCATCACTTGAATTAAGATTATAATATTTTCATTTTAAAGGAGACATTGGATGCAAAATATCTTCATTTGCATATAAATGTGTCTTAGCAGTGTGTGGACACAACCACCTTACAATAATCCCCCAAAAACCTAAACAGTCTCAATTATAAAGCCATTTTGATTTTGGAGTGAATACCAGCACTCTCTTCCACCTTCAATACCACGATGGAGGTGAGACCCTTGAGCAAGGCACCAAACCCCCAACTGTTCCCCGGGTGCCGCAGCAATATGGCTGCCCACTGCTCTGGGTGTGTGCTTACGGTGTGTGTGTTCACTACTGTGTGTGTGCACTTGGATGGGTTAAATGCAGAGCACAAATTCTGAGTATGGGACACCATACTTAGCCACATGTCAATTCAATTCACTTTCACTAAATTCGGAAGGAAGGTCTTCAAGCCAAATTGGATAGAGTTAATGTTTATAATTCAATGGAATGCAAGGAGTCTTTTGGCAAATGGACAGGAATTCAAAAGTATTATCAATGATTTAGAAATAAAACCGGACATAATTTGCATCCAAGAAACTTGGTTGAAACCATCTTTAGATTTTATAATAGCAGGTTATGATAGTGTTAGGAGAGATAGAGACAAGGGTAATGGGGGTGGATGTGGTATTTTTATCAAACAGAATATGCATTATACGGTAATGGTAAAAGGAAAGGAATTGGAATTTATAGTAATTGAAGTTTGGACAAATGAAGGAAATATTAAAATAGTAAATTATTATAATCCTTGTAGGAAAATAACATTGGAAAACTTAGAGGAACTTGCAGTAAATTTAGAGGGTAAGGTTATTTGTTGTGGAGATTTTAATGGACATAATATGTTGTGGGATTGTTATAATGATTCAAATGGGGAAGTAATAGAGGAATTAATGGAACTAAAAAATTTAGTATGTGTAAACAATGGAGATGGCACTAGAATAAATGTGGTAAATGGGAAGGAAACGGCAGTTGATATTACAGTTGTATCGGAAGCTATAGCAGGATTATGTTGGTGGGAAGTTAAGAAAGATAGTACGTTAGGAATAAAGCGCACCTTAGTATCGATATTTTTTGTTTGAGTATCGATACTTTCGATACTCGCGTCAGTATCGATATATCGATACTTCGGATCGATACGCCCATCCCTACTGAAGAGTGATCTTTGAATGTGCTGTCTATCTGCGCATGTGCAGATATTACTCCACCTGCTGACCAAAGTGTGGTACTGCAGAAGCAACTCAACTCCATTTCATTCACTTTACTTAAGTGAACTGTGTAAATTTGAAATATTACTTTTTCTAATTTGGTCAACACAACTCTTTTAATTTTAATACACAAACGTAAGGGAATTATTTAATTTAAACGTAGTTACATTCTTTGGACCAACAGTAGGCACATTAAATTTTTTTGAGTGTAGAGGTGTGACTCCAACTTTGGGGGAAAAAAAAAAAAAAAAAAAAACCTTTGTACAGTGGAATGTATTATGCTTCAGCGAGTCAGGAATCACACTCCTATTCACTTAAATAAGGCTAGCAACAATCTGTTCTATTTAGCTGCTGCAGTTTGCCCAGCGACTTCAGTATTTGATTACATGGTAGCTAACAAGAGAAAACTTTAATGTAGCCAGATAAGAAAATCTATAAAAATTTTGTGCACATTTTTTTTTTATTTTTTATAATATATACAACTTAATAACTAAGAAGGGTGCCACATACATCTATGTCCCAGTGCACTCTTGAACACACATGTAACTTTACAAGAGGAAACTGTGGTTAATTAACATTGCAAAATAATGAACAAAGTTACCTTGCTGAATTGAAAAAAGGGTTGAATCTACTGCAAAAATAAATAATTAATAAATAAATAAATAAATTACTGTATTGTGATTCACAGTAAAAACTGATGCTTTACAGATCTACAGCAACATGCTGTATGCCTACACTTTCTCACTCCCAACTCGTCACATATTGACGCTTCGTCAGGACCACTTGGCGCCACTTTTTGACACACAGGGTACCCCTTTAGCGTCATTTTTCCGATGTGCAGGGTCCTCCATTGCTTTAAATAAAAATCCTTGGCATCAATATGCCGACGTGAAAGGCACTGGGAATTTTTTCGTCATGATTAACTTATATATTGGGTAATAATATTGTTATTATTGCATATATGTTGGGGTGTAATTTTTCAATGTAAATAGTCACAACAGTTTTATTTACATTACACTATTTACACTTTTATGAGCACGTAACCCAACCCCTGCCCCTAAACCTACCATTTGTCGATAAAACACAATATATAACAGGCAGATACAGCTACAGTCACAATTTATTAAAAACATATTAATATTCCAAGTCTTCAGAGGCAAAATGATTGATTTGTGAGAGGAATAGTCACGATCACGGTCTCCGTCCGCCGTAAAGCTCAGATCCTGTGTGCAGTCTGTGCGGGAACTCAAAAAATACCACCAGAAGAAGCCTTACGTCAGTCTTGATTGTGAAATCCTATTGGCTCTTGTGTGTCTTGTGACTGATTGCGTCATGCTACAGGAGTATGTTTTTTAATGAGATGTGAGCACGTTAACGGAGTGGGATCATTTTCAGCGATAAAAACCTTATGTTTTACTCTCTTCTTCGCATAAAGACATTGTATGGCTTCAGAAGACTTAGAATGCAACGGGACTTGTTTGTAATGCTTTTATACTGCTTTTTATGGTCAGTCTTTGCAAATACACGTGACTGTACTTTTATTTCCCTGTTGTGTGTTTTATATTGTTCAGAAGTTGGTAGGTTTAGGGTAGGGGTGGGGTTATGTGCTCCAATGAAAGCATCCATTTATATAAAATTGTTTCTATTTTTTACAAATGCATGCAAACCATTGAATTAAGACAAACAACTGAAAACAATAGAGGACCCTGCACGTCGAAACGTGACGCTAAAAGGATACCTCTGTGCTTCGAAAAATGATGCTAAAGGGTACCTTGAGCGTCAAAAAGCGACGCCGAGGGATCCTGACCAAGCGTCAATATGTGACGAGTTGGGAGTGAGAACGTGTTGCATATGCAGGTTCTACAGTAAACATTTGTTTATTATACAGTATTAGTGTTTTGTAAACTACTGAAGTTCGTTACAGTGTTGGTTTAGGATGATTTTGGGGATTTTTTTATTTTGTATTATAGTCTGTCAGAAACGTCTCTGCTGTGTACCTGATGGCAGATGTCACACAGTCGCTAGGCAACAGGAGCGGTGGCGGGAACAGCTGGTGATGCAAACAGGAAATCCTCCAAATACCGTCTCATTTAACAACGTTAACTTTGATCTTTGTGGACTTCGAGGCATGAGGCCTTTGAATTGAGACACATTTACAGTGCAACTTTTCTGCAATAAAACTAACAAATTAATAAGACTGAATGAAATGTAAATCAAATGCGACTAAAACAATAACACTCGATGTTTATGCTTCGGTTTCACGTCAGAGATGTAAATACTGTCCATCCTGAACGTCTAAATGTGGTGTGGACATAAACAAATAAATGAGGATGTGTTTACATGCAAACATAACCATGTTTTATAAACAAGCAAAAAAAGAAAAAAAAGCATACAGTAAACGGCAGGAGTAGGAAACGAAACAATATTAGAATTTTCACAAAGAGATGAATTCTAAAAAAAAATGTAACAATGTTTCAATCTTTGCATTCCATTCAATCACAATCTAATATCTAGATTGAGTATAAAATCAGAGACATTTATTCTGAAACAGAAGCAGATCATGTTATTATTTCAGTTTGGATAATGAGTCTTTACTAACATTATAAATGGACCGCAGGGTAATAAATACATTTCAATCTTTGCATTCCATTCAATCACAATCTAATATCTAGATTGAGTATAAAATCAGAGACATTTATTCTGAAACAGAAGCAGATCATGTTATTATTTCAGTTTGGATAATGAGAGTCTTTACTAACATTATAAATGGAGCGCAGGGTAATAAATACACAATATGAGCAGATTAATGCAGGCTGGTCAGAGTCTTCATCTCGTCTCTGTTGCTCATGTCTGCTGTGTCTCATCTTCAGGGGCCTCGGCTCTCAGAAGAGGAAAAAGAAACCCGACATAAGAAGGGGGAGAATCTCTCTTTCCTCTTCATCTGGTCTTTTTTTAATTCCTCAAACCCTTCTCGCAATACAAAACTTTCTCAGTAATCACAGGTATTCTTTCATCTCACAAACTGGGGCCTTAAACAGAGTTTTTTTAAAGGCTGTCAGTAACCAGTATCACCTGTCTTCACTAATGAACTCAACCCTCATCAGTCAGATCATTAGTAGGTTGTTTGCTTAAAAAAGCACCATGTAAAAAGTGTCCCAACAGTAATATAAAAATGCATTTCAAACTGAATAGAGCTATGCTGCCCACCTATAATATTATAATAGCCGCTTAGTTTTAAGCGTCAAAATGTTAATTAAGAATGTTCATATGTATATAATTTTGTTAAATAAGGTTCATTTTCATATTGACTAATAGCCTACTGACTGACACAGATGTCAGTATGAAAATTAGTGGAAAGAGATGGACAAATACACAAATATAGAGGAAGTAAAACATGAAATAGGGGTTTTTAGAGTAGTAAACAGATGATGTGATGCTGAATGACGGATGAGAGCAGATATAATAATCACACAGTCTGAAGCTGCAGACAGAAACATCAGACTCAGGACAGAAACACACGACCTCTAAAGTAAGAAAAACTCACATGTTTATTCTTTAACTAGAACTAGACTGAGGTGTTAATATTATCAGAATTGTTGTGAATCCTGTTATGCCGCTAAGAGTAAAACATTATGAAAAAAAAAAACATCTAAGATGAAAATTAGAGTATTTGAGGTTTTTTTTTTTTTTTTTTTGTCCTCAGAAATGGACCAAACTCTATTTTTCACTCTTGTTCTCATTGGTGAGTGTGTTTGTGGTTTTATTTATGGTTTCTAGTTTCATTAGGTTTGATCCTGTTATGAAGATCATTAAAGCAAAGCCTCTCTTTCACAGCTCTCTGCTCCGTATCTGAATGTGTTCAGCGTCAGTATCACTTTATAAATGAGAGGAAGACCTGGACTGAAGCTCAGAGATACTGCAGAGAGAAATACACAGATCTGGCCACCGTTGACAACATGAACGACATGAACGAGCTGAAGAAGAGTGTTAATGATGAAGGTGTTGAAGATGTCTGGATCGGGCTGCAGAAGACGGGTCGTGATGAATGGCAGTGGTCTTCAGGTGAAGCTGCGCTCTATCTGAATTGGGGAGATAAACAACCAAATCGTGGTGAAGAAGAATGTGCTATGATGACACATGGACAATGGCATGATGTGGGATGTAGTAGGTGCCTAAATTTCATCTGCAATTCATCCAATAACAGTAAGTGCATCTCCCTACAATGGCAACAAACATTAATGTATAAAAATATGCATATAGATTTTCAACCCTGCTCCTGGAGGTCCACTGCCCTGTAAAGTTTCTATCCAACAGCTTGATTGACAGAAATTCAGCTTGTGATTTTCAACTGATCCTGAAGAGCTTGATTTGCTTCTTCAGGTGTGTTTGATTAGGGTTGGAGCGAAACTCTGCAGGACTGTGGCTCTCCAATACACAATACGACACAATACTAATTGCTTCTACTTTTTAATGTGGTCATAAATATAAACAACTTGAAGTCAGTTTCTGTAGAGAAAAACTAATTTTGGCCTGAAAAAAAAAAAAAAAAGAATTTCATTGAACACATATTGATTTTTTTGTCACATGGGATAGCTGTGGAAATCTGCCATTAGAGCATAGATTTTTTTTCCAGCAATATTTATAAATTATGAATTAAATGTCAAACAATTGTTTTGGCGAGTGTTTCTGAATCATAATTAATTAATAATTATTTAATTGATAAAATTTGAAATATTGGCATATAGTAGGGGCCAAAAGGGATGTCTGGCGTAGGAAATCAACATAACCCTTTATGTTGATTTCCTACATAAAGGGTTATGTTGATTTCCAAGTTTTAATAATATTTGAATAAAGGGTTAGGAAATCAACATAACCCTTTATTCAAATATTATTAAAACTGTGTTAAAGGTTTTGTAACCATATATGGTTTTATATTTTGAAAAATAATTAAATTTTTATGTTTTAATCAAACATGTAGGGTCATTAAAAACTAATAGCACCTCTGGACATCATTTTTGGACACTGCTGTATGGAATTCTGCCCCTTCTTGATGTTTATGAACGAAACTTGTTCAGTTCTTGTCTTCTCAGTGTAATTTTATTGTGCTCACTTTTACCCATATTACAATATTTTGTTTTGGAGATTGTTATTCTCAGAAGTTAGTCTTTTTAAAGTACATGTTTCGAAACAAATACAAATTTGTGATCATTAGCTGCAGAGTCTGTGATAAACCACCTGAACACCGTGAGCTGTGCGATACATTCAGCTTTCAGTATCTCAAGACAAAATCAGTCTTTGAATGATGCGTTTCTGATGTTTCCACCGCTGCTCCTGTTCACATCCAAACCATAAAGCAGCACAAGAATAATGAACAAACTGATTGATTAATCTGTTTTCTTAAAGCAAACACAGGACTAATCTTTGTCAATCAGATGAAGGATTGGAGAGACGCTCAGAGTTACTGCAGACAGAATCACAATGATCTGGTCAGTGTGAGAAACCAGAATGAGAATCAACAGGTTCAGAAGATCATGAATGATAGTCACATATCTGAAGCTTGGATTGGTCTGTTCAGAGACTCATGGCAGTGGTCAGATCAGAGTGACTCCTCATTCAGATACTGGAACACTCGTGAACCTGATAATAATGGAGGTGGTGAAAACTGTGCAGCTGTCAAACTGAATGCTCAGGGACGATGGATTGTCATCTCTTGCGGCCACCAGTTTCCTTTTGTGTGTCATGAAGGTGAGTAGATCTTCACAAAACACACACAATCCATCATCACCTCCAGATCTCCTAACGTTCACGCTGAATGTCTGAGATGACAAATTCATCCACAGTGTTTGTTCTGCATGTTGTTTTTGATCAGTCTCTCTCTTGTTTCTGCTTGTGCTTTGTTTGGTTTCCAGATAAACTGATTGTGATCAGAGAGAATCTGACGTGGTCTGAAGCTCTGAGATACTGCAGACAGAATCATGTGGATCTGGTCTCGGTTCATTCAGAAGAGATTCAGCGTCGTGTGAGGAACGTGGTTAAACGAGCGTCTACTGCGGCGGTGTGGTTGGGTTTGCGTCACTCCTATATTTTGGACGTCTGGTTCTGGGTGAATGGAGAGACCGTGTGCTATCAGAACTGGGCTCCAGGGAACGGCGCATCAGAGGAGGACTGTGAAGACGCAGTGAGATCTGGAGCAGTTCAGTCTGGAGGAGATCAGCGCTGGATCAGCCGTCCTGAACACGACAAACTCAACTTCATCTGCAGAAATTATGGAGAGTGAAGAACATGTGAATGCCTGTATGGTTATTTCCATTATCTTCCTGTTTCCAGTTGTGAAGGCTAAATACATGTGTATGTTTTTCTACAGATAATATGTTATATAAATAGTTAATGCAATCTTTCAGTAATATATTACTGAGCTGTGAAGTGTAGGTGGGTCTGTATTTCTCCAGGTGGATGAATCATTGTGATTCCTGTAGGTGGTGTTTGGTTAAGAGCTTACAGTTAGAACTGCTGTTTTTTAATGCATTTGCTTTTACAAACTCTTTCAAAATGTACTTTGTGTTATTCAGTAACTGCAGAATTTTGTGAATTCTGCCAGTTTAATTTTGTGAGGGTCATAAGGACATCATATTTATATCATTAGATAAGTCT